GTATTTTAAGGCAAAGTAGTGTATTTTAGTCATATAAAAAAATAAAATTATTGACTTACTTAAAATCTCTCACTCTAAGACATGATCATAGTCAAAGCACTTCATTTTTTCTCAAAAAACATTACACAGTCTAATATGCCCTTTAAGCTGATAGACAAATGCTCGCCCTGAAGTCTTGATTGATCTGGAATTTTGCATCCAATTTTTTTTTTTAATTTTATTTTAAAAAATGTTTGATATATTAGTCATAGGTTTTGGCTGCCTCAAATATTTTTTCTAACCAGAATTTCAGTTTTAGTTTTGCTGATGTTGTGTGCAAACAAACTTCTATAGCTAAGAAACCCTGGAATCCTCAGACACGTATCTATAAAAGTCAGGTTTATCAGACTGTCAGACCTGAAGATGACCCCATGTTTGGCTTGTTTTGTTTTCTCCATAGGACTTTCTCACAGATTTGATGATGTCTGAAGTGGACCGCTGTGGAGAGAATGAGCACCTAATCTTCAGAGAGAACACGCTCGCTACAAAGGCCATAGAGGAATACCTGAAACTGGTGGGGCAGAAGTATTTGCAGGACGCCCTTGGTGAGCCTTCGCTTAAATCAAGAACACTAAAAAAAAAAAAGAGAAAAAGTCAAGAACACTAACAAACAAAACCATAGTAGCATTAGTTAGAAGTAGATTGTTCTGTGTTCTGTCAACAATTTTCTTTACCTCAAATCTTTACGAGTCGTATTATTTTGGTTACTTTCCTTCAGGTGAGTTCATCAAGGCCCTCTACGAGTCAGATGAGAACTGTGAAGTCGATCCATCCAAGTGTTCATCAGGTGACCTGCCAGAACACCAGAGTAACCTGAAAATGTGCTGTGAGCTGGCTTTCTGCAAAATCATCAACTCCTACTGGTAAATATTAGAATGTACATCCACACAAAAGACTATTCTCTCCTGACAAAGGTCCTGCAGTTGTTGCAGTGTCAGCAGTACTGTTGTGGCCACTGACAAAATTAACATTGGGGTTCATGTTGACTTTAGATAACATTAAATTCAAATCTATTTATATAGTATTTTTTTTACTCATCTTTCTAACAATGTTCAACAGAAATTCGATTAGTTGTGATCTATCATTGAATGTAAAGAGCAAACCCGTGGTTGCAGCCTCTTTTTTTCTTACACTAATCTTAATAGGACGGCATTTGGAGTGGAATGGCCAGAGGTTTGGGCAAGCACCAAAAACTGCTTGCTTCCTTGGCCCGGTTATAGCATCCCATTGCTCGTGTCCCATTTAGTGCCTGGCATGATTTTCAAAGTTTGTTTGTGTTTAACAAAAAGGATTACATTTTTTTGTTAAATGTTAAAAAAAATGGTTTAAGTCATTTGCCAGTTTATGTAGTTAAATTTAAGTTATGTGCTTATTATTCTCGTACCACATTTTCTAAAAAATAATATTTTTGTTGTTTTTTTTCTCCACAGTGTATTTCCACGAGAACTAAAAGAGGTCTTTGCATCGTGGCGGCAGGAGTGCAGTAACCGCGGCCGACCAGACATCAGCGAACGTCTGATCAGCGCGTCTTTGTTTCTCCGTTTTCTCTGTCCAGCCATCATGTCCCCGTCACTTTTCAATCTGATGCAGGAATATCCCGACGACCGCACGGCACGGACGCTCACTCTCATCGCCAAAGTCACCCAAAACCTGGCCAATTTCACCAAGTAGGTTTGGACGACGCACGTGGACGTACACATGCAAAGTGTTGAATTATGGGAATCGTCTGGAGTTTTAATTGTCTCTCTTCTTTTAGATTCGGTAACAAGGAAGAGTACATGTCTTTTATGAATCAGTTCCTGGAAAATGAGTGGGCCAACATGCAGCGCTTCCTGCTGGAAATCTCGAATCCAGAGACAATCTCTAACACTGCGGGCTTCGAGGGTTATATCGACCTGGGGAGGGAGCTGTCCACACTGCACTCCCTCCTGTCTGAGGTGGTGTCTCAGATGGACCAGGTACTGAGAAAAAAAAAGTTTACTGCTACATTAATGTCTGTGTTTTATTGATTAATGTTAATAACTTCTGCCAAAATTATTTTCCACTCAGTTGAACAGAATGCTACAAAATTTAAATTGCACAGCAAAGACGTTATGGTAATTATCTGACATGAAATCAATATTTTATTACTGCGTTACATAAAGTGTGCCAGAAAGCACTGGGGAGCCACGGAGGCTGAGTGAAGAACTTTATTGGATTTACCAAGACATTCGTATTAGCCTCAGAAGCAAATGCACGTGTGTAATAATTAAGAACAGGACAGACAGTGGATATTTCTCTCTCCCAGAAAAAGTCATTTAAATGAAACAGTATCGTCTATTATTATATGGAAGTCAATCAAATTACCCCAGCCTGATTCATCATTGATTGTGTTTTCTGAATTAGAAAGTCTCCTGACGTGGAGTCAGTAACGTGTGCTTTGTATAAAAAATAAACCAAATGACAGCTGTATAAACCAACACACCATATACTTGAACCTGAATCATACCTGTTTTTTCCAGAGCGGCGCCTCAAAGCTGGGTCCTCTGCCCAGAATCCTGCGTGAAGTAAACACCGCTCTGTCGAACCCTTCCAGTGTCCAGACGACATCTGGACAGTCATCAGAGCACCTGGGCTCCTCGTCTCCTCCTGAAGCCAGCTGCAGCATCTCCTCCGGTCTGCAGAAGATGGTGATAGACAGTGACCTTTCAGGGTAGGGAAATGTTATAATTCTCTGGCAATTCATATCCAGTTAGACACACATTTGAATACATTGAATATGTTTGTGACCTTTCTAAATTTATAATTACCTTTGCCCTTTTTTTTATTTGTATTGTGCAAACTGTACAAACAAGGTACTTTCATATTTAAACTCCAAAGTACAAGGTTTTGTTGACTTTTTAAGACTCAATATTGACATTTTAAAGTTCCTGTCAAAATGCATGTTCAACGTTAACGTTCCTGCCTTTTGTCCTCTTCAAGTCAGTGAGTGTGTTTCCCTGTACCTCCAACAGCACCAACAGTCTCAGCATCACTTCTGCTTTATTACATCAACATTTTTCTTCATGTCTCCAGGGAGTAAATATAACCTCATGTCACTGATCTACAGTCCTGGCAGAAAAGTAGCAAGGAGAATGTAAAAAAGGCACAGTGACATGGGGACAAAAAAACACAAATGTTAGGCAGAAATGTAAGCAAAAAGAGAATCTGCGAGAGTGAGGAGAGAGAGAGAGAGAGAGGGAGAGAGAGAGAGAGAGAGAAATACAAATATACAAATGTTACATAAAAGTAAAAGAGGAAGAGAAAGATCATCTCACATCTTTTACTCAATATTTCAACTAATTTGTTAATCTCCGTTTTTTGAGTCTTTGCCCTTTAACTGATTATATATTGACTTGTACTTTACGTGTGTGTGTGTTAGTTTTGTAGCGTGTTAATTAGCATGTGAGCTCACCATTCTTTTCCTACTGTAACCCTCTAGTGTAGTCAATAGAGCTGACTGGGTCGTACAGATGGAAAAAGCATCTGGAAGACTACATGCTTTGTTTTTTTTTTCTATCTTTGAATTACAGTTTTGTTAACCTGCGGAATCTTGGCTAATTAGCCAAATTACACATACAGCCACTTTGCTAATGATGTCATAGCAAAAACACCCATGATAGAATCTTAGTTGTAACAATCACGTGACAAGTACAGTATGTCATGATCTTTTGTTATTTCTCTGATCTAAGACCATAGCCAAGAGCTCCCCCTACAGGCTATATCACAGATAATGTATGCAGCTTTTGAGGGAATACCATTAAGCTAGATGTGAAACAGGTACAAAGTGTAACGCCTATTACTACTACTCAGCTCTAATGCATGGTATAAAGCCGTCAACTTTTCTCCGCATTTATTTGTTGTTCCTTTTTTTTCCAGATTGGTGGACTTCACCAGGCTACCATCCCCCACTCCAGAAAACAAGGACATATTCTTCGTGACACGGAGCTCAGGGATCCAACCTTCCCCCGCACGCAGCTCCAGCTACTCAGAGACAAATGAGCCAGACCTTGGTATGGCCAATGGCAGCAAAAGTTTGTCAATGGTCGACCTCCAGGACCCACGCAGTTTGGAAGGTGGTTTAGGTCCCAGCACCTCGGACGTCTTGGGTGAGGGGTCAAGCTCTGGTGCTGTGTGGTCAGCCAGAGTGCCGCAGCCTAACATGATGGGAGGCCCCAATTTGAGGAGGCCAGGCCAGACACCATCCACCCCTGTCACAGAGACCACACCAGGGCGACCCGCCCAGTTACTTGCCCCCCTTTCCTTCCAGAATCCAGTGTACCAAATGGCAGCCTGCCTGCCTGTGTCGCCTCGTGGACTGAACGACTCGGGCTCAGAGTGCCATAGTTCTGTCAGTTCCCATAGCAACAACGAAGAGGCACCAGCAATGGGGAAGCACACCTATTTGAACCACGGAGGTGCAGGAGCCGGCGGAGCAGGGGGGAGCAGCGGGGACGAGTACACCAGGCGTTCGGGGGAGTTTAATCGTCGACAGTTGTCTCTGACAGAAACGCAGCATCAGCCCTCTGTTCCCAGGCAGAACAGCGCTGGTCCGCAGCGAAGGATAGACCAACCTCCGCCCCAGAACATGAATCGAGGCCGTACCCCTTCCAATCTCCTCAACAGTGGAGTCTATCCGCGGCCCTCCTCGGGGAGCATGATGACGTCATCCCCCGACTGGCCTGGCAGCGGCGCGCGGTTACGGCAGCAGTCATCTTCCTCCAAAGGTGACAGTCCTGAGACCAAACACAGAGCTCAGCACAAGCAGGTATGAGGTTCACCCTGGTCACCGACAGTGTGTATAACTGACAGTTACTGAAAGCGCTATTTATAATTCAAGACGGACACAGACTGTAGCCGTCTGAGTCCCTGCTGTCACCTGGTGTTACAGTCATAGGGAGCGCTGCTATTACAAAATGCCCTTTTGTCTCATAGCACGTGGAGAAAGGCTGCGTAGGAGGTCTCTGAACAGACACTGCACAATTTGCCCTAATGAACTGCAGTCATTGTGCATGTAATGACAGTCATTTGCATACAGGCAGCTCATCACTTCACCACTGTTTTACTGGTCATATTTAATGGTCTGAGAATGAGAGTGATGGAGGAGCAATTAGCATTTTATTAACCAGGGAAATTTACCAGGCAACTGAACTCAGACCCTGATTAAAAAAACAACAACAAAAACAACATCTTTTTGGTGTATTATAATAATAGTGATTTTTTTTTATAAATAATTCAATTTGTATTTATTTTTGACTTACTTTTTTGAACTTGTTTTTGGTTTAATTACTTAACTTCTAGTTTCATGTCAGAATAGAAAAAGTGCAGAAAATCAAAAAAAGTGAACAACTTATCAGTGAGTACTAAAATTTTGTCTAATTATATTCGGAAATTTCACCAAAGTCAATTGGAGTCATGCTGTGGTTCTACTTCAGCCACGACTCTCTGGTGAGCTGCTGTTCAGCTACACGGCCCACGCTGACAGTGTCTGATGAATTTCACTTAATTTGCATAATTAATAAAACTTTCTTTTTCCGTATTAGTCTGGCTTTGTAGGTGAATAGATTCACACATGTAAATCATTTCTTCAAAGTGTCCGCCGCGGTGCATAAGTGGCTTTGAAGACAGGTGTGTGTGTATCCATTCCACCTTCTGTTTCCAGTCCAGATCAGTGGGTGCATTTCAAGCTTACAGTATTACTGTTGGTTCTGTGCTCGTGCTGTTGCTTCCTCCCCTCCTCCACCCGTCACTTGCACTCAGCTCATGTCTGTGTGTGTGTGTGTGTGTGTGTGTGTGTGTTTGTGTTTGTGATGTGCTGGTTCCACTAGGCCCCCTCCCCTGTCAACCCAAGTGCGCTGGACCGCACAGCAGCCTGGCTGTTGAATATGAATGTGCAGTATTTAGACCATGAGGGATTGGAGCCCGAGTCACTGAGAAACAGAGAGGATCTGAATCAGGTGGAGAAGGTAACCAACGTCCTCATCCAACATTTGAACTCAACTGATGCTTCCCTAACAAACCGCCTCAATCTTCAGCTGTGACCCCTAAGTGACCTTCTGTTTCACTTCTATTTGACCTTTTCTTCCCCCTCACTCAGCCGTTCTCCAGTAACAGTAAAACAGATCAGTTTCATGGCGACCTTATTTGTGTGATTCCTTAAACCTTTTCAAATTGCTTTTGCACCGTGAACAAGCCAGTAATCAGTGATGTTCCGCTGATTTCACAGCAACTCATTAGCAAAGTGCTGCATGCAATAGCCATAGCCATAGCAACAGCAATGATAGCGGAGCAAGGGTTAGTGATTATGAGGCTAAATATAACAGTAATTATTAAATGTCTACACTTAGAACAATGGGAAATCTGATCTGCTCATTTGTTCATTTTTTTTTATGATGAATTATTCTTATTTTTCAAATAATCAAATTGGTTGTGTAATGACTGTCAACTCACTTCTTATGGCCGACATACACTGTGCGATTTTGGGCCGACGACCATCGTAGGACAAACGTCTTACAACCAAAAATTGGCCAAGATTTATTAGATCCACATCTTATAAGCTAGCTAAAATGGCACAGTGTATGGAGGCCACCAGAATGACAGACCAAACAGTCTGTACTTATGCATTTAGAAACAGTCAGTGATCTATCACTAAGTTATTAACTACAGTTAAACAGATAATTAGAAAACTTTGTTTTCGTATATAGCATTACTGTGACTTTTAGCCAGATTAGCATTTTGTGCTAACTGAACGGTTACATTTCTTTCTTGGTATAAATTTCCACATTAATTGCACACAGAGGAATTTCTACAGATATATTACCTTTTATACTTTTGCAACAGTAATTCTAGAATCATCTACGCCCCTGACTCGTATATTTTATGTATTTAATAACCCAGAGCAGGTGTGTGTGTGTGTGTGTTTGTGTATGTGTTTTCACATGCAGCACAGGTACGCTGACATGTTTGTGCCTGTGTGTTTGCATCTCCTTAAATGTGAAAAGTGGAGACAGAGATATGAGAGAGAGAGAGAGAGAGAGAGAGAGAGAGAGAGAGAATCCTTCGCTGCTTCCCTCTGCATGTGTTCTCCCTCGCTTCTCTTCTCAGCAACCATTAGAAACACTCAGCCTCGGCTCCTCTTCCATTCTTTGATTGGCTGCCACTTGCCCCCCCCCCACTCCCCCACTCCTCCTTTTTCTTAATGACTACAGACCTGTCATCCTATCATAGCTTATGCTTTATAGAAGCCAGCAGCTCAGGCAGGGAGAGCAACCAAAGAAGGCAATAACTTCAGTCATACCAAAGAAGCCGCAGTCGCCTTAAAATAGCAGAGCAGCAACAAGAGCTGCAAAACAGCACATCTTCAGCAGCAGCTCCGACACAGGCTGCAGCTAATGGACCACAGTCTCTACAGTAGTCGGGTCGCTCCAATGCGCGGTATGCGTTCGGTGAACTATAACTAATGAAGTCCTACATTTGTTGTGATCGAACAGAGGATACAGTAATAAGACACAGCAGAGTTTAGATGAGAGGAAAACGCAGTTTCTGATTACATTAAGTTTGAAGTCATGCTGACTTGGTAAAGACCATCAGTTATTACCTGGGATCAAACCATTGTCTTTTAGGGGTACGGCAAGATTGTTAACCGCTTTGTTGCTCTACCTCAACATTGTGTTTAAAAACACAGAACTGACATAGAAAATATTTTATTTCATTTATTATTGTTGTTATTAAATACCATTGCCAATTATCTTTCATTACTGAAAATCCTTAATGGAATAATGAACTGCGTAAGTTCAACGTTTTACTGTTAGTTGACAATTTTATTATTAATAAATAATCTCATGCTTTGATTACATTTACTAACCTTTCAGTGTAAAATGTAGATTTTGGTCCCTTTAATAATTGTAATTGTGTTTTAGTTTTAATATTTTTTAATTCATCTACGTTAATGAAGTTAAAACCCGTGACAACCTCCAGAGTGGAGTGGATACGTGTTTTGTGTTGAATTTTATTTTAAGAACAGAGTTCAGTTCAGGCTCTGGTGCCAGATGTAAACATCACCTTTTGTATTATTTACACAATAGAGAAAGAACATTACTCACATTTCCTCTGAGTCGGCGTTCGCGTTCCAGGAAGGAGAAAAGCTTCAGTAGACAACGGCGCAGACCTGAGGTATTGTAGGTGTGTGAGCGACCACTGCAGGGACTGAGGGGCAGATTATTCATTCTCTGGGAACCTGGTGACAAGAGCTGTGAGCCATTATAGAAAGGAAAGAAGCAATGAGACGATGAGGTCATTGTTTTCTCCAGGAAGAAGAAGAAGAAAAAAAAAGTCTCAGGCATTTGAGTGACGTAACTTAACGAGCAGAAAGTGACAGGAAAAGATTAATGATGGCGGCGGCCTCTCCGCTAGCTGCAGTTAATTGTTCAAAGTCTTCTGATTGTTAAATGTTCGTCGCCAGCCTCTGCTGACTGACGAGCTCAGATATTCTGTCCTGATCAGCTGCTTCTTTGTTTACTTTAATTATGTTTCATTAAAAACATTTTATAAAAACAACATTTGGATTAAATGTCACTAAACAAAAATCCCAAGGCATTGATGGGGAGTTTATACCGTTGTTCTTGTAGCAGCTGATTTTATCTGCAGATGTTTTGGTCAAAACCTGGGAGCAGGGCAGACTAAGTCAGACCAAACTGACTTAAACATCATTTACTATGAGTTAGCTGTTTCATGTCTTTGACTCAGTCTAATACTCTATGATTCCCTGAGGGACATTAATGGATTGAACTAATTGATTATAATAATATAGATTAGATTGGATGACAGGTAGATTAGATTGGATTAATCCATTGATCCTGACTATCATTGTTTCCTCTAACATGGAAGATAAGGGTTTATTCATGTATTTGACCCTCTCAGGTCAAGGAAGGTCAGAGGCCAGGAGATTTCCAAAGTTCAGTACCGAGACAGGAATCTTAATCCTCCTCCTTGTTTCATCCCTGCTCCATCCCAACATCCAAGCCTCTCAGTCGACACATCCTTTCTCTTCTTCTGTTTTCTTAGACTCAGCAGAAACTTTTCCAGAGCATCTCAACAGATGAATCGTTTGAACTGTTTTGGTTCATAGAACTCCTGATGTAGGGATTTTTTTCCTGTTTCTGTCAGTTACTGTAATGAAGCTGAGGGCCCACAGTGGTGGTGGTGGTGGTGAAGATGATGATGATGATTTCCTCTGCTTCTAAATTCAGTACCAGCAGGAGATCGCTGTGCTGCAGGAGAAACTGCGGGCATCCGTGCAAAAGCTGGAAGAGTACGAAGCCCGTCTGAAAGGTCAAGATGAACAGGCGCAGAAAGTGCTGATGGAATATCAGGCCAGACTGGAGGAGTCGGAGGAGCGCCTGCGCAGACAGCAGGACGACAAGGACCTCCAGATGAAGAGCATCATCAGCCGGTGAGTGTTTAAAATGAAGCAGTGTCTGTATCTTCAGTAACCGCGCTGAAACACTGACGCTGTCTGGAAACTCCTCAGGTTAATGTCAGTGGAAGAAGAGCTGAAAAAGGACCACTCAGACATGCAGGCAGTGGTGGACTCCAAACAGAAGATCATCGACGCACAGGTGACTTTGTCTTCTGACGTTCAGTGTGAAGGTCGCGTCCAGTGCTGTATAAACCCAATGACTGGAAAGAAAATAACAAAGAATTCAAATAATAAAGTATTGACATTAGTTCCGGGCCAAATGGGAGGAATTCCTGGGCTGCAAGTGGCCCCCGAGCCAAAGGTTGGAGATCACTGCCCTAAGTATTAAGAGTTTTACTCTGTCGTACCTGAAAACCTAGATATACAACTGTGTGTTTAAAGAAAAAAAA